CAGTAGAGTTCTGTGCAGAAAATAATGCAGCATGTTTTACTTTTTTTTCTGCACAGGAAACTGGCTGGAACTGACTGCAGTGGGGTAAATTAGGGCCATTGCAATGCATGGAAAACACTGTGCATGCATTTTTGGTGCAGAAAAAAAACGCACTTGACTGCATCTGGTGTGAACCAGTGCTAAATGTAAATCTTTCATTAGTTTTACAGCATGAATTTTTTACTTTAACTGCCTCTTGCCCGCCATATTAGGAAATGATGGACGGGCGGTGGTTCTCTTTTTCTGGGAGGGCATCATATGACGTCCTCCCACTCTACCCTTCCAAATCTCGGCGCCTGTGTCAGGCTCTCCGGACTGTATGAGCCCCGATCACATCGCCCTCCTATCCGCCCTGTCCCCGGAGGCCCTGCGCTTCGATGAGGACGATGACCTGGAGGTGTTCAGTAAGGATTGATTTTCAGACAATGCAGTATCCAGTTTCCAGAGAGAGAGTTTCCTGTACATCTGGTGAGCTGCACCCATCCATCTCTTAAAGGGGAGTCTGGCATTCTTTTGTTCTAATCCTATAACCCCAGGATCCTGCATATTCTGAGAAGGAGTCATCCCCATCCCTGCCCCATTTCAGATGACCTTGATGACATCAGGATATATTATATAAAGGCGCATTTTACTATGCGTTCCAGTGAGTGCGCATTTCTTCCATACTAAATCGCACAAGCACCGAATTATAAAAGAACTCAGGATTCCTAGGAGCACTTTAGTCACTTTATGAACTTTATTAATTAATTTATTATTCATGATGCTATTTATAATTATACTTACCTTTATATTGTAATTTACTTGAGGGGGTTTGGGGAGAGAGAGAGAGAGGAGAGAGAGAGAGGGGGGGGGGAGAGAAGTCAGGGAGGAAGACAGCGAGGGCAAGGAGGGAGAGAGAGAGGGCTGGGAGAGAGAGAGAGGCAGGGGGAAAGAGAAAGGGCAGGGGGAAAGAGAAAGGGCAGGGGGAGAGAGAGGGCTAGGAGAGAGAGATAGGGCAGGGAGAGAGAGGGGGGCAGGGGGGTAGGGAGAGAGAGAGAGGGCAGGGTCAGAGAGAGAGAGGGAGGGGGGAGAGGGAGGGAGGACAGGGAGGGGGGGAGAGGACAGGGAGAGAGAGAGGGGGGGGTGGGAGAGGGGGGGCAGGGAGGGAAAGAGAGGGCAGAGAGGGAGAGAGGGCATGGAGGGAGAAAGAGATAGCAGGGAGGCAGAGAGAGGGGGGGGGCAGGGAGGGAGAGAGAGAGGACAGAGAGGGAGAGAGAGAAGACAGGGGGGAGAGAGAGGGCAGGGAGGGAGAGGGAGAGCCTACTGTCCGGTCAATTCCTCCACTAAACTCTAAATTAAGGAACTCACATAATACCCAGGAACATCAAAGCAACACAGTTTGTTTTCTCCCAGTGCAATCTGTGGGTCACCATTCCTCCAGACACATTATTAGTGTCCTGCTTCCTCCTGTTTGTTGACTCTTCCACTGCTGCCTCTGCCAATCCTCACTCTTGGGACTCCGCTAAGAGCACTGCATGACAACAAAAAAGACGAAATAAAACTTCCTACAGTGTAGTGCTTCTTTTTATTAAAAAAAATCAAAACATTAAAAAGTATAAGAACTCCCTTAAAAACACAAAACAGTAAGCCTCATATCTGACAGACCCTAACCAACGCATTTTGTTACTAGAACTTCTTCAGGGACTGCCAACTGACAGTTGCTAGAAAATTCAAAAAGATTTTTACATGGACTTTTTAGATACAAGCTTTTGGATTTGGTGCCCCCAGCCTCTCTTGGTCAAACCCCCCTTTACAAATTTCTACTGACAGTTGCTACTTGTTTCCTAAAAGCTCAGATCTTGTTACATTCCCCTTCACTGCTCACACTGTTCTGGCCTTCCATTACTTAAAGTGATTGTAAAGGTTCCAATTTTTTTTTTCAAAATAAACAAACATGTCATACTTACCTGTTCTGTTCAACAGTATGAATGGCTCCCAATACTGTGTCTCAGCCAATGAGGAGACAGAATCCCATGAGAGCTTCTGCTCTTCAGCCAATCACTGGATCCGAATTGGGCTCAGTTGTGTATAAGGAGGAGGGGGGCTTAGGGGGGATGCTGCACACTGAAGGTGTATTACCTTCATGTATAGAATGCATGAAGATAAAAAACCTTCAGGCTTCAGAATCGCTGTAATTTATGCTTTTTCTTCTTGTATATTGCTTCTTACTCATAGTCCTGTCTGTTTTCTTTATCTTTATTTTATTGTCTACTATATTAATTATGCAATATAAATTACTTTATGGCAGAACAATGATTTCTTTTACCATTCCAATGACCTACTTTATAAATAGTGTAAAGAATACGGATGAGCAGAGTTACCTCATCAAAACTGATTTCACAGCAAAATGACTAAATTTACCAGCGGTGAATTTCATGAGATTGGAAACACTCAGTTTTGCTCATTGAGCTGCTTAAAGCGGAAGTCCACTTTTGTTGAGAAAAAAAAAAAACAATTCTCCTCTGGGTGATCTATATATATAATAATTACAGTGCCACTCCAACAAAATATAAATACTCCCTTATAGCATATATCTCACCTTCACCCTTGAAGGTGTAACTGTAACTAAAATAATTAATATGCCACTTAAACAGATATCTCCCACAATGTGTATAAAGAAAATAAACAAAAAATTATAGTCCAAAGAAATTATTAAACCACACTAGTGTCCTCAGAAAAAAAGTCATAAAAAGGTGATTCCAAGAATTGTCCAGATGTCAGAGCCTCCCAAATGGCTTTCACAACCAATGTCACCTCAAAAAAAGGAAATCATACATAGTGCATTATCCTTATTAAATAAATGCATCAAATACAATGTGTAAAGTTAAATGCACTGTGTAACACACATGTGACCACTCTTAAGTGAAAAGTGAATGGATGCGTAAACCGTGCTAGTGAACCACTCACAGTGCCAAAAATACAAAAAACAATAAGTGTCAAACCAGTGTACACTTCTATTAGAGTAAGGAGTGAATACCCTTACAAAAACACAATAATAATCACGCCTTAATGCCACCAAGGTATACTGCCATTTCACAGATAGCCCTCCTGGAAAAGGTCTTTTTTGTCATACTTCCTTGTTGTCATCTGGGTTAATCAGCATGAAAACTCCACAGTCCTCCTCAAACCATATTCCACCAATATATGAAGAACAAAATAGTGTAATATCACCAAAACACCTTTAAGTATACTTTATTGATATGCTTACATCATAACAGCCTTTTAAAATGTCTTAAAATCCATATCTAAAACCTCTGTGTAGTCCAGGGAACATCCACAAATGTTTGGTGTGATTTTTGCCACTTTCTAAAATGGCCGCTACTCCACTTCTGGTTCCCGTGTGCGTCTGACGTCACTTCCCTCGACGCGTTTCGTCGTCGGACTTATTCATAAGGGACTATAATTTTTGGTTTATTCACATTGTGGTAGATATCTGTTTAAGTGGCATATTAATTATTTTAGTTGATCTATATATATATTGCAAGAATTTTAACACACTTTGCTGTAGATTCCTACCTTTTGATATCTTGAAGAAAGAGATAAATGTTTGTATCCATGTGCAAAATGAATGGGAATGGGAGTGATTCCTAATTATCAATCAGCTGCTGCACCTGCAGGGCTCTAATGAGGAAAATTGCAGGGTCTACATCCTTTTAAATGGGATTTCCCTTCAGAAGTATCTGACCAAAAATGATATTTTTATGCAGGGGATGCCTGAAATCTGACTTATATCTTAATGCAGACTTCCGGAAACATTCAGTTAGCCAATCACAGAAGTAGGAAATGATGTTGCTGGGGACCAGTCTGTAAACATTTTGTGTACAGAACACCTCCAGGTAGCCATATTGCATTGCATTTTACAGAAAACTACAGAGCTGCTGATTGAAAAGGAAAGGTCATTCTTAATAACATTCAATTACAATATGTTTTATTAGTGCCACGCATATATCTCCATATACTGTACACAATCTACTAAGTGCATCAAAAAACATATCACTTAAACACTTGTGAGTGTTATAATCACCACAACTTTTAGTCCTTTATATGTGATAATATCCGTGCATATACTGTATAAAAACACTTGTGTCCACATAGATTGTTATATGTGCTCCTCTACCAGAGACATACAGTTATACTCTCACCTCCTTCTATGACTCAAATTGCATAGATCAAATAGCACTTTTCCCTTTAACCCACGTAGGTATAAGGAATTGCTAGCTCCACTCTCCTCCTCACTCTGCTGCAGATGATCTTGCCTCCTTCTTTATCTCACATATCCTCCGCATATGTAAACAGAAATGCTTGACATAGTGTAGTACTCAAATACTGTATCATTTATTAAAATACTAAAGTGTACTTACATTTAAAAGTGTCCTGCTGGGACACCACAGTAAAAACGCCTGTCAAATATTAAATCCAATAACTTCAAGGAAATTCCAAGATGGCGGCTCGTAAACTTACGGTTTTGTGGCTTGACGTCATTGGCCCACCCTATGTATTACATCACGTCACGTGACTTCCTCAGAAGATGGCCATTGGACAAACTGCCGCCTATAAGTACTGTGTTGTTCATTGATTAATTGGAAAGCATCCCCTAGCAGGCGCCATTTTTTTTGCCATCCGTTAAGGCAAATTGCAATCAGGGAATTATGCAGTGATTTGGTTGTAATCAGACCAAAAGAAAATGGCCACTGTAGTGATAGGATAGACAGTCGGGCAGCACAAAAATGGCGCCTGCTAGGAGATGCTTTCAAATTAATCAGTGAACAACACAGTATATATAGGCGGAGTAGTATATGTAGTGCGTCCAATGGCCATCTCCTGAAGAAGTCACGTGACGTGACATAACGCGTAGAGTGGGGCCGATGACATTAAGCTGCAAAAACTGGAAGTTTACGAGCCGCATTCTTGGAATTTCCTTGAATGCATTGGATTTAATATTTGACAGGCAACCAACAAACCCAGACACGTGCATTGAATTGCCAGGCAGAGAAATGTGATTTGTCACTCCAGAGAACACGTCTTCACTGCTCTAGAGTCCAGTGGCGGCGTGCTTTACACCACTGCATCCAATGCTTTGTATTGCACTTGGTGAAGTAGGGCTTGGATGCAGCTGCTCGGCCATGCTCTCTATTACACTGTTGTTGTGCTAATCTGAAGGCCACATGAAGTTTGGAGGTCTTTAGCTATTATTATTATTATTATAATACAGGATTTATATAGCACCAACAGTTTGTTCAGCGCTTTACAGCTATTTACTCTGCAGACAGTTGTCGACTTTTGAGTACTGTGCACTTCAGCATGTGCTGACCCCGCTCTGTCATTTTACGTGGCCTTCCACTTTGTGGCCAAGTTGCTGTTGTTCCCAGTTGCTTCCACTTTGTTATAATCCCACTAACAGTTGACTGTGGAATATTTAGTAGCAAGCAAATTTCCCGGATGGACTTATTGCACAGGAGGCAACCTATCACGGTACTACGCTTGAATTCACTGAGCTCCTGAGAGCGACCCATTCTTTCACAAATGTTTGTAGAAGCAGTCTGCATGCCTAGGTGCTTGATTTTATATACCTGTGGCCATGGAGGTGATTGGAACACCTAAATCCAATGATTTGGAGGGGTGTCCCAATACTTTTGGCAACATAGTGTATATATATATATATATATATATATATATATATATATATATCTTTATGCTTTTTTATTTATTCCAAAATCTAAATTGCTAGATTTACTGTACACCAAAATAAATAATTGTATAATGTTTTATCTATGAGTGGAAAGCTGATCATCCATACTAGACAAACTGTGAAGAGGTATGCAAAGCACAAATCTAATGACTGACTGTAATCACTTTGCTTTGCAAGTTAAATGTAATGATTTTTGTGATGAAGTAATTGGCATCAAAGGTTATAAACTACCTCTTGAAAGGCTGTAGTGTAATGATCATTGCACTATGCATGCAGTTGAGTTTAGTTTACAATACAAAGATATCACATCTCTGCGTTTTGTTACATTCAGTTTATCACTAGATTTACTCCAGGTTTTTGTGAAAGTTCTAGGCATAATCGTAATTACTGTGCTTTCTTTAGATCTCATTGAAATGCCATCAATACTGGTCCTATGACCAGTTTTAATAAAAGCAGTCAAGACAGAAGTGGTTTGACATGTCATTGTGTTCATCTGCCAGGTCTTTTCTGGTCAAAAGTAAGCATAAAAAAATCCATTAAAGGGTAACTAACAAGAAACCATGTCTACTATGTCTATTCTGAACTTATGTCATTGATTTTTTTTCTACGAGCATGTTTAGTGTGTATTTTTAGCAATGAGTCGTACATGTTGCATAAAATAGAATTCATTACTGAAAGAATTTCCCACCCACAGACACTGAATTTCAGCATAGAAACTGCTTGTTGTACGGTTGCAGTAATGCACACTAACAAGAGAAATATGAAAACATTCTAACTTAAAGCACGGCGGGCTGGTAACTTATAATTATCTTTTCTTCTTGTGCAATATATACATTACAGAAAGAAAATTAACTCTATTAGATACTGTTTCATAATATTAGGGTGCATAAAAAAAAACAGAGATTATGGATACAATTTAATTAATGATATGCCATGGTGCTTGAATGGGTTCATTCATGTTAATAAAGACTGATCCATCTATTGTAGCTGAAACAAAGAAAAAAATCACTTTAGACTTGAGGTAGGAAAGTGACAACTAGTGAATTTAATTGTGCGGTATGAGAAAATTGGTGCTGACAAACAGAAAAGCATGAAAATAACACGTTTGTGTACTTACCATTTTATGTACTCTTAATAGTTCTATTTAATAATAGGTGTATTTTACAAATACCTTAGATCCTTTAATATACTATATTCAAACACATCATGCAAGTGTACAAATATAACATTTTACACATTCTGCTATTTCCGCTGTCCTTTTAGAGTTGTAATGTGATTGTTCAGGATAAAGTCATCTGCAGACAGGTTTCCACATATTACATATGAGAATGCACAAACAATATTTCTTTGGAGATACATGTACACATGGCTAGTTTCTGACTGGCTGAAAATCTTATGCACAGATGTGTAAATAAAGAGATGCAAGAAATTTGGGGTAGCACTATAGAGCACTGAATTCTCTCCCCCTTTCTCCCTCTTATTTACATATTGCCTTTTATACATGGTACCAGATACTTTACTTAAAAGATGTGCATATAATAATTACAAGCACACTGGAATTTAATCAGGCGATTGCGCAAAGCAGCAATTCATTTTGATTCTTATCACAAAGGTACACCTGTACTTTAATATTAGTAGTTGACCCTACAAATGTACTTCACAGAAATATTAACTCTCAAAATGAGCACACACAAGGACCTACCGTATTTAAAAGGGATTTTGGTAAGAAAAAAAAAAAAGATCAGCACAGACTGGGATAGATTTACTAGAACTTGTGCACCCAGAATCTGGAGCAGCTGTCCATAGTAACCAATCATTGGAACATTGGATCACCTTTGGAACACCTCTCATCTGACCTCCATCTTCTTGTAACAAGGCCTAGGCATGCCAAAGGCATGGTGGATTGTCTAATCTATATATTTTTAGAAAGTAGATAATCTGCATAATAGCTTTTTTTTTTGGCATGGGCAAAGAAAGGTGTATTAAAAGGCACCCCTCCAGACATAGGGGACCCCTCTTAGGCACCGATAGCCTCTTCAACACTCTATCTTCCACCCGATTTGCCTGTCAGCCTGACTCTAACATACTTATAGGACAGTCCACCACTCTACTGGGGACTCCAAACCTGGGATTGGCAGGACTTGAATATGAATGTGCAGATTAGGTCTCCACCCCTTCCTGCTTACCGATGTCTGGATAGGTCTATGGTCCTCCAGAGTCAGGAGGAGGCGACAGAGCCACAACCTGTTGAATCATCCAGCTGTCCTGCAATAACCCGACCTCAATGACACGACTAACACATCTACCATGAGTCACACACGATGATTTTGCCAATGCTACACTACACTATTCTAGTAGCACATTAGAGAGTGCTACAGAACGTATTCCTGAGGTAGCCTATTCCACATTTTCATATCTTTTACAGTGAAGAAGCCTTTCTATATGCAAAGATTAAACCTCTTTTCCTCTAGACACAAAGGGAAAGATTTACTAAAACTGGAGAGTACAAAATCTGGTGCAGCGCTGCATAGAAACCAATCGGCTTCCAGTTTTTGTTGTTAAAGCTTAATTGAACAAACTGAAGTTAGAAGCTGATTGACTACCATACACAGTTGCACCAGATTCTGAGTGCTCCAATTTTAGTAAATCTCCCCAAGTGAGTATTCCCTAGTCCTTTGAAATGATCTTAAAGAGATTAATTTTTGCACCAAGAACGCTATAGGGACCATTTATGCATCTATACACGGTGCTCATGTTCCCCCCAATTGCCTTTTTTCAAGAGACTTTACCTGCGCAAGACCTTTTTATGATTTTTGTGAACGGGTGACTAAAACTGAACTGCATATTCCATAGTTCTCACTAAGGCTTTGTACAGGGACACAATGTTGTCTCTACCTTTGGATTCTATGCAGTTGATTTACCAAAGGCAAATATCTGTTCACTTTGCAAGGGAAGTTGCACTTTGCACTGGAATTTATCCAAGAGCTTAATAATTCAGGTGCAGCTCCTCTGACTTATATCATTTAATCATGTGCAAGCAAAAATTATTTTTTTTCCTTTGCCAGTGATTGGGTATTCTTTGGGTATTCTTTGTGAAATGATATTTCACCACATTCATTAAGCTATGGGGAAAATTCCATTGCACGATGAACAGAATATCTGCCCTTAGTAAATCAACACCTATATCCCTTTAATACAAGAAAGAACTTCCCTTGCTTTAGAAACTGCAGCTTGGCATTGTATGATATTATTAAAGTTATGTTCTATCAAAACACCCAGATCCTTCTCAATTTTTGACTCCCCCATTTCAACTGAGTGTATCAAGAAAAAGAAAAGCATCAGCATAGGCTACTCTCAATGAAAACGTCCTGGGCCACTCATCACAACAAAAGAACACCCATCCTAATGCAATCCTGGGATATCTATGTTACACACCCAAGAAGCCTAGGAAATCTTGCAATATTTTAAACATAATAATATAGCACCAGAACTCCGCCTGCACACGCGCGAGATCTGGTGTTATCAGGGGGCCAACTGCAGGTACTAGAAGAAAGCGTTGGCTCCCAGTAGAGCATGGCGTGGGGTGACACTTGAAGCAGAAGAGCAGCATGTGCAAATAGGACAACTTGGGGTTGCTGGACTTACTGTATAAGTGCTTATGATGCATGAGCAGGCAAGGTCTGCTTTAATGCCATCAAAAATTACCTTTCTACTTTAACACAAATCCAATCAGAATTTTCTAAAACTGACAAAGACTAAAATTCTGCATACAGATCATACCTAGAAATGTAAATTCCTCTAAATGTGACTGATTCATCGAGTTTCCCAACAGCTTTCTCTAAATACAATGTACAACATTGGGAGTTCCAACATTATTAGCAAGCAGACCTTCCAGCAATCAGGAAAGAGGCAACGTCTGGAGTGCACTGCCTCTATCTACAGGGACAGGGGGCAAGTAAAATCTGCAATGAAGTTAGCTAATGCACATAGTTGACATAGAGGGCATTTTAAAGTGGTAAGCCCAAAAACAAAAATGTAGCATATTGCAGTATAATATATAATACAGTCGTAGGGAGTTTGCATTCTGGCTGAAGTAATGAAGCAGACACCTTTGGACAGCAGTATTGTCAGTTTGTGTAGATCAGTGTTTCTCAACCCTTTTCCAGTCAAGGCACCCTTTAAAGTTATGAACAATCTTGAGACACCCTTTAAAATTTTGGACAGTCTCAAGGCACCCCATTCTAAAATGTAAAAAACTATTCTAATGGTTTTACCCAATGCAGCAACATCCATACACGTAGGACACCCAACGTTAGAGGTGATCTATTCTTCCAAAGCAAATTCACTTTTGCGCACTGGTACTGACTAGTATTCCAATGTTTCTCTTCTCCCTCAGTTTCTCTTACTCAGCTAATTTGCCCCATTACTGATGGAGAGGGGCAGGGGAGGGTCAAACAAGGATGCCGTGCAGGCGACTACATTCTCCATATCAACTGATGGCGTCACTGGTTGTTAGGACACCTGTGGCTAGAAGGTCGTAATGGTGCACAATGAAAACCTATGGCTTTGTTCAAGTAAAAGGCAGGTTTGGTCCACCTGCTGGCTTGTATACAATTTTTTAGCAATTTTTAGGCATTTTGCCAATGCACCCCTTAAGAAACTTCAAGACATACTTTTTGAAAAAGGCTGGTGTAGAAGGTAGTGTTAAACTAGCAGATTTCGATGGACTTGACCAGCAAAAGCTGAACTGCAGTTATCAATTTTAAGCAGTTAGAGCAGTTTTTTTGTTCCTTTTGAGATAAAGATTTTATATAAATGAATAAAAGCTAATCACTGTAAGCACCCCTGTAAGTGTTA